ATGGAGAGCATTCCTCCCAGAAAGAAATAAAAAAGATGATTGTAGGCTTCATGTATATATGACTAGGTATTGAACCCAGGAGCACTTAACCACAGAATATCTCCAGTCTTTTTTTTATTTTATTTAACACAGGGTTTTACTGAGTTACTTAGGGCATCACTAAGTTGCTGAGGCTGGCTTTGAACTCATGATCCTCTTGCCTCAGACTCACAAGATCTGGGATTACAAGCATGTGCCACCATACCTGGCTTCATTTTATATTCTTAATATTTGTTTATTGATCCTCTTTCCTTTAGAATCTACTACCTGTTTCTCAGAGTAGACTTGAGACTGAGACCTGATTGTTAGAACATTGCATTATTTGGCCTCAACCTTTGATTCAGTGATGACTGTACAATCCAAGGCAGTTCCATGAAGAATTCATTTTTAAATTTATTTATTTGTGTTCTTTTTTGTTCACCATCTGGAGATGAAAGAAATTCTGTTTTTTTTTTTTTTTTTTTTTGAACCAGGGATTGAACTCAGGGGCACTCAACTACTGAGGCACATCCCAAGCACCCCGCCGCCTTTTTTAAAAAAAATAATTTTTAGTTGTAAATGGGTCTTTTTTATTTTAATTAATTAATTAATTAATATGAGGTGCTGAGGATCAAACCCTGGGCCTCACACATGCCAGGCAAGTGCTCTACTACTGAGTCACCACTCCAGCCCTTCCCCAGCCCAATTTTGTATTTTAATTTGAGACAGGGTCTCATTGAATTATGCTTAGCACCTCCCTAAATTGCTGAGGTGGGCTTTAAATTCACAATCCTCCTGTCAGCCTCCTGAACCCAGTTAACTAGCCTATCTTAATGGGGGGTAAAAGATAAAAGCTGCCAGTGACAAGGAATGGGGCAATAGGTACTATGAAACAAAATTATAACCTTGGGACAAAATAGTTTCCCCCTTTTAAAGATCTCACTGGATGCTCTATTTGGCCAGAAACACTTTTGGGTGCGGCCTTACCTATTGCCACAAAATCTAAAATACATGAATTCAAGCACCTATGTCTTGGCTCTGCTGATTTCTGCAGAGAGAGGTCCCTAAGAATCTTTGTATGGGCAATGTGACCTTTATTGGACAGAATGCCCCAGATACATACACATATAATGACAGAATCTCTGGGTACAATTGACAGTGGGGAACTCACTTAAAGTTGATGACATTATGATGATGACAATAGAAACTGGTCAAATAACAATAACCTGTGTTCCTACCCCTTGAGCTCAAACTGGAAGGGAAAAAGATTTAAGGCACAGTTTTTAAAAAATATGCCAGACTGACTTCTCTCTTGGGATAAAAATCGATGATCAATGTTATTTTAATCAAGATTTTTTTAGGAGGAAATAACTTGCCCCCAGGAGGATAGGATAACCCCTTAACATAGAGACATTAATGGGGATTCTGGGAATCCATTCTCTTCTGGCCAGTTGTTTAAAATATGAATCGAGTCAGCTTTTCCAGATCTCCTACTCTGCCTATCCTGCCTGTTAAAAAAAAATCTCACTCTGATGAGTAAAAATTTGTGGAAGTCTTGAGAATTATAAAAAACTGTGATGTCCATTACCTTTAGGTTTTTTCATTGTTAGAGAAACAGATAACTTAAAATTTTGACCAGGCTTGATTTTTCATGAATAACCTGAATACATGTGACAGAAATAAAATACATCTGAAATGAAATATGTTTGTCTGAATCTTATCTAAATGTTCTTGTAAAACTTTATAAAATGAAAGTTCATATAGGTTTGACCAATAAGTGCTCTCTTATATATTGCATCTGGCATAAAAGGGCCACACTGACATTTGAGAAACTGGCTAGTATCTGTCTGCTTTAACTAGTTCTGATCATTAACACTGTTCCCTAAATATATAAGAGATTTAAGGCTATTCTTCTGATTTTTTGCTAGTACTGTTAAACTCTGCAAACCTGTAATGATCCATGAATTCTGAATTTTACTGTGAAAAATTAAACCTAATTCATACAAAGGACATCTGGGTAATGGTGATGCTAACTATTAGTTCTTTGTATATTAAGTATACTCATTTCTTCTAGTATGGAAATTTTAAAATATAAAGCTTAGAAAAGCACTTTACCAAGCTTATGTTCCCCAAACTAAAATTGTCTAAAATGGTAACTTACCTGAGATAAGGCTCTGCCTCCCACCTTATTCCATGTTAGAGTGGCTCCAAAATAGGCAAGACTTCAGCTCATTTAAAATTGGTGTTCAAAAGATTGATTTTTGTAGTAAAGATTACTGTGATCTCAAAGAGGGAATATAATATATAACTAAGTAAAGGTTCAAGATTATAAAAGTCATTTTTCATGGTTCATAGCTATTGCACAAACTGAATATGTTTTTGCTCTGTTAATTTCATTTTGTATTTTCCTTGTAAACTTTATAAAGGTTGCTCTTTAATGTTTTCAAGAGACACTGCTTCTAAAAGAAGAAGAAGAAAAAAACAACAGTAAAATATTTGGGTTATTTTGAGAGAATAAGCCATCACCTACAGGGCAAATAATATATAATGGTGACTTCCAATACAAATGCTAACCCAATAAAATGAAAGGGTAACTGTAAAATTGCAGATATTAAAGTTATAACCTGTTACTCTCTCTTTAAGACTGGTGAAACTGGCTTGCTGGGTGTTTAAAATCAGAAACTTGGAGACCAAAGTCAAGGAAGTGAAAGGGCCAGGAAAAATCAGCCAATATTTGGCCCTTGCCCTCCAAGTTCAGCCAGCACCCAGAGAATGATGGAATCCCTCTGAAATTCTGGTGAGTCACCTGATCTGCCAATCAGAAAGATTGAAGGGACCCAAGAGAACAGAAAGCCAACTGGTGGTACATACTATGCAAAGAGGAGGGTCACTGGAGAATGAAATGCCTAAAACTTCCAAAAGAAGTCACATGTGTGATCATCAAGACCCTGATCTGACCCATCCTGGCACATGGCACCACTGATAGAGGAAACCTAAAGGAGCCAGGAGGCTTCACACGTGTCCCCAAGAGTCATCTCTGAGGATTCTCGGCTGACTCTTCAGACTAGATAGGAACAAGTTCAGTTTTGACCAACTTGGTCGTAAACACCTGGCAGGAGAGGATAGCCTGAGCACAGTCCTATATGGACATTTAAAAAGAAAACCAAATTTTTTTAATGTAACTTAAGATGTACACTTGTGTCAGCCCTAACAAAAGTAAGTAAAGCTGGAGGCTGTAAAGAAAGGGTACTTAATGAGAGTGCCTAATATTCAACTATCACAAAGGACTTCTAGAGACACAAGCTTGTCCTGCATTCCAGACACTGGCAAACAAATTGTTTTCATATTAATTGTTTACCAAAAAAGTAATGCTTTGCTCTCTTGTTTATTGTTGTCCTAGCATAAACCTTGTCTAGTCACTTGTCAACTGCTACCATGGACCTTTGGACTGCTGTAGTTCATGCCCCATCTGACAGAAAATAAGGATTTGAGGTCACTTCCCCCCAAATCACCCTCAGCATGAAGTACCTTGGAGATGTCACTGCCCACTTTTCCATAGAAATGGAAGGTAGAAATTGACAGTGGGAAATTTAACAGTGGTCCCTTCACCTTCTGAATGCAGCCCTTATTGCTCTAAGACATTATTATTATTATTATTATTATTATTAGTAGTAGTAGTAGTAGTAGTAGTAGCAGTAGTAGTAGTAGTAGTCCTGGGATTGAACCCAGGGCCTTGTGTATGCAAGGCAAGCACTCTATCAATTGAGCCATATCCCCAGCCCCCAAGGCTTATTTTTTAAATATTTTTTCTCTCTTCTTCCCTCTCCCCCTCCCTAACAAAATTGGGGAGACAGTGAAGTTCCTTTAAAAGCTGCCTGTTCCTCTCGATCAGGAGAGTCACAATCTTTGGGACAGGAGCCCCTGTATTTCTCCTCTGCTAGCAAAGCACTAAAACTTATTTTTCCTTTTTCTCAAAACTGTGTCCTCATTATTAAATTGGTATTAATTGACATTGGGGATAGGGACCAAACTTTCAGTCATAAGAGTGCCCAAACTGAGAAATGTATGAATGAAAGCAGTAAAAAAAAAATGCCATGAAGCAATAGAAACCACAAATAATCAGAAGGTGCAGCAAGAGATATGCGTAGAGAGCAGTCATTCAGAAACTGGCACATGGCATCAGGAGGAAGGAGCCTGAGGACTGGGAAGCAGAGATGGAGAATCTGGGTCCTGAGGGGTGGGGGTGGGAGGTAAAAATGATGAGAGGTAGAGCAGAATCACTAGCAATAATGTTGAACTACTAGAGCAACTGTCATGTCCTGATAGTAGGACTTCCCAATGTAGACCTGAAGAGGGGATTCAGCCCTTGGTCCTAGTGAACTATGAAGCAGGTCAAGAGCAGGCCACTTATGTCTTTAAGTTGATCACTAGTGAATCTGAAAGATAGTTCCCCCTCCTCCTCCTCCTCCTCCTCCTCCTCCTCCTCCTCCTCCTCCTCTTCTTCTTCTTCTGAGCTGAGCATTGAACCTAGGGCTATTTAACCACCGAGCTATATCCTCAGACCATTTTTTATTTTGTGACAGGGTCTTGCTAAGTTGCTTAGCATCTCACCAAGTTGTCCAGGCTGGTTTCAAACTTGCAATCCTCCTGCCTCTGCCTCCCTCCCAAGTTGCAGGAATTATAGGCACGTGGTACTTTTTTGAGGACAAAAGTCCTTAAATACAGGGTCTTTTGCATACTTGGCAAGCCCCCTCCCACTGAGCCATGTCCCCAGCCCAAGAAGTTACTTCTTTTGAGAACAAGAGAGAAAAAAATTGTGTGTGGGGGTGGTCCACAAGTACTCATTAAATTATTTTTATGCAACTCTGTATGGATGAAATAATGTTAATAATGTTTGAAAACATTATAGTTGTTCTGAAATTTTTCTTCAAAGCAAGAGAAGAGTATGTCATCCCAAAGACTGAAAGAAAGAGAGAGATCTCTGAAGAAATATTTAATGTGGGATTTGGAAGAATTTTTCAGGAAGGTTTTCAGTGACATTATTAGAATTCTGCAAGTAAGAGCCAGAAAGAATGGCTGAAATGAAAAGGTGCTAATAAACTAGGCATGGTGGTGCACACTGCATCCCAGTTACTTGGGAGGCTGTGGTATGAAGATCATCAGTTGAATGCCAGTCTTGGCAATTTAGTGAGACTTTGCCTCAAAATTAAACAAAACTCCATGGGGGTGTAGTAGTTCAATGGTGCTGTAGAGCACTTACAGAGCCTGTGTGAAGCCCTGGCTTCAATAATTTCAAATATTGAGCATAAATCAATAATAAATGAATACATTAAAACGTGTTAACCACCAATTGTAATAAGCCCTTGCTTCTTTAAAATTGCCTTTTCCACTCATGGAATGTTCAGTTTTCGAGAGTACATCTAACTTGTTAACCACTGTATTTCCTGGGCAAGTTAGTAGCTCAGTACCTGTGACAAAAATAACAAGTGGGGTGTGAGGGCTCCAAACAGGGTCACAGAACACCAAGCTCAGTGCTAAGATTCATAGCTGAGTAGGAATGACGCATGGCATTTTTGGTTGAAAGGTGAGGCCAGCAAGCCATTGAGATGATAATGATTATGTTAAGATGTGCATTCAATTGGATATTAGACCCCTGCTGTCAGCCTCAGCCTGCTACTTTGGAGCTCTCACAGGGACTCCCAGAGAGTTCCCATTGGTTGGGGAAGTGTGGTAGGAGGGATTTCCGGAGGAGGGATTTCCTGTTGGTGTGGTGTGTCCCAGGAGAAGGCTGGGTGGGTGGCATTCACAGGAGTTTTGGAAATAAAGTTTGTTCCTGCTTGAGTGTCTTGTGATTTTGTGCCCAGCCAGACTGCGGCAGCTGAGGAGGCCCTCACACACTGCTGCTGTTTAGAGTATCCTCTGCTCAGAGAGGGGTAGGGTGGACTCCAAGCTGTTTATTCTAGGGAGGCAGGGATTGGGCAGGCCAGGCTGGGGTCCTGGAGCAAGAAGGAATGACCTGGCAGTCAGTGAAGTCTCAGTGAGCTGAGCCCTGCGGAAATGAGAAAGGAAGTGAGAACTTCACCAAAAGCAAGCAGGTCCCTCAACAAGTCCACCTTATGCTGTCCCACCTCCTTTTTCCTCCAGTTGGCACTAATAATGTAACTCAGAGCTTGATCCATGTCCCCTATGTCAATTCATGCCAATTTAATAATAAGGACACTGTTTTGAGAAAAAAGGAAAAATAATTTTATTGTTTTGCCAGCAAAGGAGAAACACAGGGGAATCCTGTCCCAGAGGCTGTGATTTTACCCATCAGGGCAAACAGGGCTTTTAAAGAATGTCTTCAAAATCTACATTCTAGGTGTGCCCTGAGAAGGGGGGGGGTCTCAGGGCATCTGGATAGTGTGTTTAGGATTCACTTGTTAATTTGGGAGACAGTCTCTTCCTAGAAACTCTGATAGACATCTCCTTCCTGTGGAGCACAGATAACTCAAGGTAATCTTATTCCTTGCCCCCAGGTTGGAAGGGGGAGGAAGGAGAGAAAAAGAAAATCATGTCTCTTTTCAAAAATAAGACTCAGAGCAAGGAGGGCCATATTCTAATCCTGAAGTTTTCAAGTTCTAAATTAATAGGTCTTTACCTCCTCTGGAAGTTGCCTAAGATGTCCTCAGTCTTTTGGATCTCTCCTGGAGCATGAATGGGCTCTACCACCAGGTGTAAGCCACACAGCACTATCTCCAGGCAGGAGGCAACGACCAGCAAGAAGAAGAGCGTCACATTCCAGGGCACCACTTTGAGTGGTTCCTCACACAAATTCCAGGAAGTATCATTCTTCAAGTAAGTGCCTCTGTGGACAGATAGGGTCCAGTAAGTGAAGGAGGTCACGTGGAGCCCTACCCCCACCCGCAGTCCCCTCCACTTGCAGGGTGGAATTTTTCAAAGGGTTAGTTAGACCCATGTGGAGGGAATTCTCCTGAAGCTCAGTGGCACCCACGTGGGAAGAGCATGGGAGCCATGGGATGCAGAGACTGGGGGGGGGGGGGTCACTGACAGATGCTCAGCCTTACGCAGTTTCTTGGAAGTGATAGTCCCACTCGTCGTTTATGGAGCATTTGGGTCCAATTCTGAGGCCGACTCCTGACACTGAGAGGCAGTAGATGGCACCAAGCATTCCGAAGACTGAACACCAGCAGGAACATGGAATCTGGACCCGGTGTGCAAGGTGAGCTGAATAGGGCCGCCCGGTCCCCACTCATGGCCTGACCGCGCCTAGCTCTGAGCCCCCCACCACCCCCAGCCCCCTGCCACATGGCCAAATGACTCTGGAGCCAGGTTAAATAGAGATTCTGGGGGCTGGGGAAGCCATCCCGAAATAGTGCGCTTGAAAATACATTTTCCTATAAACCCTGGGCTTAGAATTAAGCAAAATTAGGGCCAATAGATACTCATTGCCTTGAGGAATTCTGTGGAGACTGCTGTGGCTCAGGGAGAGTCTAGTTTAGAAACCGAATCCTCAATGTCTCTCTCTCTCTCTCTCTCTCTCTCTCTCTCCTTGTGGAGTGTTAGGCTCACTGGGGATATAACCCAGGAGTGCTCTACCACTGAGATTGATCCACAGCACCTCCGCCACTTTAAAAAATATTTTTATTAGTTGTTATGGATCTGTATTTTATTTATTTATTTGTGAGAACCCACTGTCTCACACATGCCAGGCAAGTGCGCTACCAGCTGAGCCCCAGCCCCAGCCCAAGCCACATCTCTGGCCTCATCCACACCTCCCTCCCTCCCCCCCTTTCTTTCTTTCTTTCAACTGTACTTATAGATGGACACAATACCTTTATATAATTTATTTATTTCTATGTAGTGCTGAGGATTGAACCCAGTGCCTCACAACATGCTAGGTGAGTGCTCTATCACTGAACCACAACCCCAGCCCCGCCTTTTTATTTCTTATTATTAATGAGAGAGGATCCTGCAAAATTGCCCAGGGCTGGCCTCAAACTTGAGAAGCTCCTGCCTCAACCTCCAAAGTCACTGGGATTACAGGGGTATGCACTATGCCCTGCTGAATCTCCTTTTAATTTGGATCTCACCCAGTTGGGATGTTCAACTGCTGCCAGAACCATTCTGAATCCTGGACACAGCACCTGTGAAACAAGAGTCAGTGTAATAGTGTGAATCTGGCAACAAACCCAGATTCTCAAGGTCTTTACCGCCTCTGGAGGTGGCCTAAGATGTCCTCAGTCTTTTGGACCTCTCCTGGAGCATGAATGGTCTCTAACTTACTTTATCATTGTTTATTTTCCTCCTTATCTCTGTCCATATTTTAGCTTCCTTGAAGGTTGGGTTCAATATTAAACATTGCCCATACATTTTGGCACATGGTAGATGCCTTTCTGAATGGAAATCAGGAGGACCTGAGGTGAAGGCAAGGGCCACACTACTTCACACTCAAATGAGTTGATTCATTTCTCTGGGTCTCAGAGAAATGGTTGTAAAATCTATGTCATGAGTTGCTTTTAGGTTTTAATTGTAACTGGTGGGCCTGCTGTCAAGACTGCTTTAGAGTAAATGCTCCTTAGCTATAAATGCCTTCAGTAGTGGGAAGATGTAGTGGTATTGGGAGGTCTGGTGAGCTAGGATATGCTCGAGTATGCTCACAAATGCTGTGATGTGGAGTGTGGGATTTCCTAAGATCCAGCCCCTGAACTTTTTTTCTTCCTGTGACTTTTCCCACAGGAAGATCACTCCTGCCAGGGAATCAGCTATTCCCCTGCCAACTGTTACCTGTACATGCCTAGAGAACCAAATCTAACTGCCCAAAGGATGTGTTCACTCAAATGTCTTGGTTGTAGCTCAGATTCAGCCTGTATAAGAGGTGACCTCATAATATTTTCCAAATTCATCTCCCTTTGATTTCCTCATCCTTTTAATTGAAAAATATAATCCACGAGGTCACCTAGGCTGGAAAACTTAAACCCTTTGCACCTTGCCAAACTCAAGTCTTCTTGACTTTTGCTTCAATGGCTCCTGAATCTATCAGTCCTTTCTCCTTCTTCTCCCATTCAATTCCTAATCACGTTCCATGAGGAAGATGTTCTTAGCCTCTCTACTCAGTCCCCTTAGCTCTTGCCCCATGCCACCCCACACTTCACCATTCATGCCCCCACCAGATTAACCTTGGTGTTGCCAGGGTGGGATGGGGCACACCTGTGAACCCAGAGATCCAGAAGATTGAGGCAGGAGGATGCATGTTCAAGAGCAGCCATGGCAACACAGAGAGAGCTTATCTCAACATAAAAAAATAAAGGCCTGGGGTTGTAGCTCGGTGGGAAAATGTGGCTGAGTTCAATTGAAGGTGGGGGGGCAGGGGTGGGGAGGATTTTCTTTTTTTTTTTGTATTGTTTTGGTACTGGGTATTGAACCAAAGAGCACTTAACCACTGAGCCATATCAATAGCCCATTATTACATTTGTATTTAGATACAGGATCTCAATGAGGGCCTTTTAAAGTTGCTGAGGCTGGATTTGAAATTGTGATCCTCCTACCTAAGCCTCCTAAGCCACTGGGAATACAGATGTGAGCCACAGAGCCTTCTGCGAGGAGGGTTTCTTAATCCTTTGAGGCTCCTCACTTTGCCTCCAGCCTTGACATTGCTTTCATAGCCCAGGACAGGTTCTTTGTTCATCTCCCATCCCTGGAATTCCACGGCTGTTTTGATCCTTCCCTCCCTTTTGGTCTTGTCTGGCATACACCATAAAAGGCAGCATTTTGTTCTTTTCCAGGGAAGGGGCTGAGAATTTTAGTTCTGTTATATCATCCCAAGCAACCTCAGAGAAGCACCTGATGAGTGGAACCAAATTTCCACCAGCACTCTCCCTTTCCTCCTCCTGTGTCAGGGCAGATTCAGGGTCAATACTGACCCCACTGTTTACCCTCTCTGGTGAGGTCACTTACTGGGAGGATTTAGGATCCACAAATACCTAGAATTGCCTTCTGATTTTCTTGTGTATGTGTGGGTTGTTTTGGTGGAGATCTAATCCAGGGTCTTTCCATGCTAGGCAAGTGCTCTAACACTAAGTTGCACCCCCAAATCACATTTACCAATTTTGAATCACCCACCTCCTTGAGAATTTTACTTTTGGCCAAATTATTAGCTTCCTTTTGTGGGGTGAACTTCTTTGTCTTCTTCCCTGCCATCTAACTATCTTCATGAAAAGAGAAGTGTCACCATAAATTCAGGAGGCAACACTCTTATAGCTCAAATCTCCTCACTTTTCTCTATCACCATGGCCACTGGGCTATTTGAAGGTACTGTCTTCCTTCCATGATATTAGTCTCATCTCTGTGCCTCTATGGCTGACCAGATCCTACTATCCATTCTCCACACAAGATCCAGAGGGATATACTTCAATTCAGTGGGGTTTGGAGCAACTAGAACTCTCACACTGTGCTGATAGGAATTAATGGATTAAAAAAAAAACCTTCAGAAAACTACTTGCCAGTATTAGCACTGAATATTTGCAAATGTTAAGAGTCAGCAGTGTTACTCCTATCTAAGAGCAACAATGGAAATAATCACATATGTTCACCTAAGGCAAATACAGGAAGGATGATAGCAACATTATTTGCAAAAAAGACCCAAACTGGGAACTATCCAAATGTCCACCAGCAGTAGAATGTTTAAGTTGAAGTGTATTCACATGATAGAATGCATAAGAACTAAAAAAGTAGAGCTACACAAAATAACATGGATGGTTCTCACAAATACAATATTATGCTAAGGAAGCCAGACACAAAAGAACACATAGTGTATAATTTCATATTATATAGAATACTAAAGAGACCAAAGTAGTTTCTGGGGTTAGAAGACAGAATAATGGTTAACCTTGTGAGTTTTGGGTAGTACCTGGTGATAGGATATCTGGGATTCTGGTAATATGATCTGTGGGTTTTTTGTTCATTTGTTGTATGAATTGGGGTTTTTCCATTTCACCCAGGTCAACCTGGAACTCCTAGTGTCAGCCTCAAGATCCTCCTGCCTCTGCTTCCTGAGGAGCTGGGACTACAAGTGCACGAATGAATTGGTTTTGGAGTGGGTGTTGGGTAGATGGGTATGTTCACTTTGTAAAACTACATTGAGCTGGGGCTAGGGATGCAGCTTAGTAGCAGGACATGTGCTTAGCATTCAAATGACCCTGAGTTTAATTCCTAGCATGTGTGTGCGTGCGCGCAAACACACACACACACATACACACACACACACACAACCAAAAAACAAAAAGAAAAATCCCCAAACTTCTTGCCCTAAATGCTGTTTATGATAGCTTTATTTATTTATTTATTAGGATACCAGAGATCGAATAACATAGGGCACTCTGCCACTGAGTTACATCCTTAGCATGAACTCTTTTTCTTCTCCCCCCATCTCCCCATATTATATGGTCTAATTTTCCCAGGTTGATCTCAATCAAACTCATGATTTTCTTATCTCTCTCTGTCTTTTTGCATTACTGGCAATTGAACTCGGGGTATTTTTCACCAAGCCCCATCTGAGTCCTTTTAATTATTTATTGCCTAGGTTGTTCTCAATTTTGTGATTCTCCCTGCCTCAGCCTCCTGAGTTCCTGGGATTACAGACATGTGTTACCATGCCTGGCTGGCTTGTTCTCTCTCTCTCTCTCTCTCTCTCTCTCTCTCTCTCTCTCTCTCTCTCTCTCTCTCTCTCTCTCGTACAGGGGATCAAACCCAACATCTCATAAATTCTAGGTACATGCCCTACCAATGAGCTCTACCTCCAGGCCTGTTTCTTTTTATTTTTGGTGATACCCACTCCTGTCTGAAATCATCTTCATTCATTTGGTGACTATTAACCTATTTCCTGTTAGGTGAAGGCACTAGTCTAGGCACCAGGCACACAGCAACCAACAAAACAGGCAGTCCTTGCTCTCATGGGGCTTCTAGTCTTGCTTCCTCGTAATATTTACCTCCACAAAGGAACACAAGCTTCCAGGGGAGCAGAGACCTTGTGTCTCTGTGGCTTAATGTGGCATTTCCTGAGAGTGACTCAAGTTGTGGAGGAGGAGGAAGATACCTGTCAGAATATTGGGAGCACCTCCTTGGAGATTGCCAGTGAAGAAGAGTAGCTAGACTGGGTGGAGGAATGGGGGGATAATTTAAGCCGAGGAAGGGACATGATGTGACACTGGAGAGTGTGTAAGTGTGGGAGGAGTGTTTCATCACAGAGAGAGTTGAGGTCAGAGAGATGGAATAGTATCCAACAGCCATGAATCTATGTAAGAGATGGGGAGTAGAAGACAAGAAGGAGTTGCTAGTTCAAGGAGAGTTATCCTCATTTATCTAATAGAGATGTAGCCTGGAATAGGGGCATGGTAAGACCTCTTCTAGAGAACGTTCTGTCATCTGTCCTGAAAAGAGGGAAACTCTGCTGGGTAGATCTCTCAACTTTGCCCCACACAAATATGACACTAGGTTGACCATCTAAAACTTCTCCTAAACGGGGAAAGAGAGGAGGAGGAGGTCCAGGAAATCTGTGTCCCCTCTTCCTCCACTTCTCCTAGCAGGTCCTCATGTCCAGGAAGCCTTGGGGGCAACTTCTCTGTCTTACTGACCTGCTTCTGAGTTTACCCTTAGCACCCAGCACAGAGTGGGCATCCAGAATGTGGGCTGAGAGACAGTGGATGAGGAGGAGGGAAGGACAGCACTGAGCTGATAGATAGAGTGACTGATGGGTGACATCACTGCCTGGCTCCAGACATTTTTGATGCTTATTATTACCCTGCCCTGATAACCTCCCACACAACCAGCTGCTCCTTTTGCTTGACCCTTGTAGTGAGGGGTCCCCAATATCTGTTCAGCTGCAAGGGCAAGGGAGGGTCAGGTAGGACATGTTTGACCCAGAAGGGAAGCTTTTTAGAGACTTGAGTCTCCCCTCCCTGCCTTCCCCTTCCCTAGACATTCATCTCAGGTCCTTGGGGGCTCCTTCTGGGATGTCTACAGAGTGCTGAGTGTGTAGGGGAGGATGGGGCACATTCCTTGTCCCCACCAAGCACTTGCCATCCCCTCTGGAGCTCTGTCCTTTTCCCTCTCCCCTCCCTTCCCATTCAGAACCCCTTATGGTTGTGCCCACACCCCTGGTCACTGGCCTGTGCTCTAGACTCCTCACCATCAATCCCCCGCCGATGAAGCCAGGCATGAGCAAGACATGCATGCTGAGTTGGTCACTGCTCCAGGTCTTCCCATCAGGAACCAGTAGGAAGGCATTGGCCACGATGCAGACTAGGGAAAGAGTAGTTAGAAAGAGTCCCACACAGCAGGCATGGTTCCATGGTTTCATGGTGAGGCAGTGAATGAAAGTGAGCCTGAGGTCCCTGGGTGCAGAGGAAAACAGGTTGGAGCATGAGTAAAGGTTGGAGAAAAGATGTGGTAGAAACTGGCAGGATCACGATGATAAGGGAGAGAGGCCCTTATCACCAGCTGCAGCTTGTGAGGAGTAGGGGTGGATGTGCTGATGGAGCACTTGGTGGAGTTACTCATACACTGCAAGATGCCTGGTGTCTGTGTCTTCTTTTTCTGCACCCAGGTGTTTGTAGTCTTTCTTTGATTCCTTACCTGTTTGAACATATTACCAAGCCATTATATGTCTCTAAGTCACAATTGCCTCATCTCTATAAAGGCTAGAGTGGTACCCCTTGCCTCCTGAGCTGGTTGTAATGATTCCTTAGGACAGGGGAGTATTTGGTAAACTAGGCAGCTCAAAGAATATGTACAGTGGTCTCATCATTTTTCTTTGTCTCATGGAGAGAGTTCCTCCCAGAACGAAATAAAGAAGATAACAGCAGGCTTCAGTTGTCAGTTTATTTCATATATATATTTAACTGGGTATTGAACCAGGAACACTTAACTACTGATCATCTCCAGCCATTTTTTGTATTTTATTTAAGACTGGGTCTTACTGAGTTACTTAAGGCTTCACTAAGTTGCTGAGGCTGGCTTTGAACTCATGATCCTCCTGCCTCAGACTCCCAAGGTCTGGGATTATAGGCATGTGCCACTATGCCTGTCTTCATTTTATATTCCTAATATTTGTTTATTGACTCTCTCTCCTTTAGAGACTACTACCTGTTTCTCAGAGTAAACTTGAGACTGAGGCCTGATTTGTTAGAACATTGCATTATTTGGCCTCAACCTTTGACTCAGTGATGACTGTACAATCCAAGGCATTTCCATGAAGAATCCATTTTTAAATTTATATATTTGTGTTCTTGTTTTTGTTCACCATTTGGAGGTGAAATAAATTCTGGGTTTTTTGTTTGTTTGTTTGTTTTTGGTACCAGGGAATGAAGTCAGGGGCACTCAACCACTGAGGCACATCCCAAGCCCCCACTTTTATAAAAAAAATAATTTTTAGTTGTAAATGAGTCTTTTTATTTTAATTAATTAATTTATTTATATGAGGTGCTGAGGATTGAACCCAGGGCCTCACACATGCCAGGCAAGTGCTCTACTACTGAGTCACCACTCCATCCCTTCCCTAGCCCTATTTTATATTTTAATTAGAGACAGGGTCTCACTGAATTGCTTAGCACTCCATAAATTGCTGAGGCTGGCTTTAAATTCACAATCCTCCTGTTAGCCTCCTGAGCCACTAGGATTTCAGGTGTGCACCACTATGCCCAACTAACTAGCTTATCTTAATGGGAAGTAAAAGATAAAAGCTGTCAGTCACAAAGAATGGGGCAGTAAGTTACAGTACTAAGAAATAAAATTATAACCTTGGGACAAAATAGTTTCCCTCTTTTAAAGATCTCACTGGAGTCTCTATTTGGCCACAGAACATTTCTGGGTGCAGCCCTACCTATTGCCCCAAAATCTAAAATACATGAATTCAAGCACCTATGTCTTGGCTCTGCTGATTTCTGCAAAGAGAGGTCCCTAAGAATCTTTGTATGGGCAATGTGACTTTTATTGGACAGAATGCCCCAGATACATACACATATAATGACAGAATCTCTGGGTACAATTGACAGTGGGGAACTCACTTAAAGTTGATGACATTATGATGATGACAATAGAAACTGGTCAAATAACAATAACCTGTGTTCCTACCCCTTGAGCTCAAACTGGAAGGGAAAAAGATTTAAGGCACAGTTTTTAAAAAATATGCCAGACTGTCTGATTTCTTTCTTGGGATAAAAATCGATGATCAATGTTATTTTAATCAAGATTTTTTTAGGAGGAAATAACTTGCCCCCAGGGGGAGAGGATAACCCCTTAACATAGAGACATTAATGGGGATTCTGGGAATCCATTCTCTTCTGGCCAGTTGTTTAAAATATGAATTGAGTCAGCTTTTCCAGATCTCCTACTCTGCCTATCCCCTTGTTAAAGGGGACTGTGATGTATGTAAAGTCCCTGCCCTCCCTAAAAAAGTGTACTTAAGCACTGCTCAACCCCTGCTTGGGGCTCTGGGCCGCTCTCCCTTCTTGAGTGAGCACGGAGCCCCAGCGCGCTGGATCCTTAATAAACCCCCTTTTGCTGTTGCATGAGTCGGTCTCTTGGTGGTCTCTTCCTCCGTCGTTCGCCGGTCCATTACAGTTTGACCAATAAGTGCTCTCTTATATATTGCATCTGGCATAAAAGGCCATACTGGCTTGTATCTGTCTGCTTTAACTAGTTCTGATCATTAACACTGTTCCCTAAATATATAAGAGATTTAAGGCTATTCTTTTGATTTTTTGCTAGTACTGCTAAACTCTGCAAACCTGTAATAATCCATGAATTCTGAATTTTACTGTGAAAAATTAAACCTAATTAATACAAAGGACATCTTTGTGTATTAAGTATACTCATTTCTTCTAGTATAGAAGTTTTAAAATATAAAGCTTGGAAAAGCGCTTTACCAAGCTAATGTTCCCCAAAGTAAAATTGTCTAAAATGGTAATTTTAAACTTAAAGCAATAACAAATTTAATTGGAGATTTATTTATGTCATTTAATGTTCTGTAACTGGACCAGTTATCAATAAGATGTATGTGAAATTTTATGTTAACTTTTTACACTGGGGTAGAAATTTAAATGTATTTTTAAAAGAGAATGAGAGCCTGATCTGTTTAAAGGTGGACATTGTAAAACATGAAAACATTTTGGCACTTTCCCACATAAAAGGGTTAAAATCACTAAGCTTTTCTTTTATTAATATTTCAGACGTTATGATGTATTATGTTATTTGTGAAGAGTCCCCTTACCTGAGATAAGGCTCTGTCTCCCACCTTATTCCATGTTAGAGTGGCTCCAAAATAGACTAGACTTCAGCTCATTTAAAATTGTGTTCAAAAGATTGATTTTGTTGTAAAGATTACTGTGATCTCAAAGAGGGAATATAATATATAACTAAGTAAAGGTTCAAGATTATAAAAGTCATTTTTCATGGTTCATAGCTATTGCACAAACTGAATATGTTTTTGCTCTGTTAATTTCATTTTGTATTTTCCTTGTAAACTTTATAAAGTTTGCTCGTTAATGTTTTGCAGAGGCACTGCTTCTAAAAGAAAAAAAAATTTGGGTTAATTTGAGAGAATAAGCCATCACCTACAGGACAAAGAATATATAATGGTGACTTCCAGTACAAATGCTAACCCAATTAAATGAAAGGGTAACTGTAAAATTGCAGATATTAAAGTTATAACCTGTTACTCTCTCTTTAAGACTGGTGAAACTGGCTTGCTGGGTGTTTAAAATCAGAAACTTGGAGACCAAAGTCAAGGAAGTGAAAGGGCCAAGGAAAAATCAGCCAATATTTGGCCCTTGCCCTCCAAGTTCAGCCAGCACCCAGAGAATGATGGAATCTTCTGAAATTCTGGTGAGTCACCTGATCTGCCAATCAGAAAGATTGAAGGGACCCAAGAGAACAGAAAGCCAACTGGTGGTACATATTATGCAAAGAGGAGGGTCACTGGAGAATGAAATGCCTAAAACTTCCAAAAGAAGTCACATGTGTGATCATCAAGACCCTGATCTGACCCATCCTGGCACATGGCACCACTGATAGAGGAAACCTAAAGGAGCCAGGAGGCTTCACACGTGTCCCCAAGAGTCATCTCTGAGGATTCTCGGCTGACTCTTCAGACTAGATAGGAACAAGTTCAGTTTTGACCAACTTGGTCGTAAACACCTGGCCAGAGAGGATAGCCTGAGCACAGTCCTACATGGACATTTAAAAGGAAAACAATTTTTTTAAAATGTAACTTAACATCTTAACTCTCACTGAGTGTCTAATATTTAACTATCACAAAGGACTTCTAGAGACACAAGCTTGTTCTGCATTCCAGACACTGGCTGAAAAACAAATTATTTTCATATTAATTGTTTACCAAAAAAGTAATGCTTTGCTCTATTGTTTATTGTTGTCCTAGCATAAACCTTGTCTAGTCACTTGTCAACTGCAACATGGACCTTTGGACTGCTGTTGTCCATGCACCATCTGACAAAAAACAAGGACTTTGGGTCACTTCCCCCCAACATCACCCTTAGCATGAAGTAACTTGGATATGTCACTGCCCACTTTTCCATAGAAATAGAAGGTAGAAATTGACAGTGGGGAAAATTTAACAGTGGTCCCTTCCCCATTTGAATATAGCCCTTATTGCTCTAAGACTTATTATTATTTTTTTGGTAGTCCTGGGATTGAACCCAGGGCCTTGTGCATGCAAGTCAAGCACTCTACCAACTGAGCCATATCCCCAGCCCCAAAGGCTTATTATTTTCTCTCTTCTTCCCTCTCCCCCTCCCTAACAAAATTGGGGAGACAGTGTTATCTTTTCTTCTTCTAGTTAACTGTACTTGAACACATCCACTACAAGAGGGAGATGCCTGCTAAGGATCTGGGAAGTGAATATCTCCCAAATTAGCAAGTGAATCCTAATATGCCATCCTGGGCCCTGGGTCCCCTTACCAAAGCACATCTGGAATGTAACCCTTGAAGTTCCTTTAAAAGCCCCCTTTCCTCTTAATTGGGAGAGTCACAATCTTTGGGACAGGAGCCCCTGTATTTCTCCTCTGCTAGCAAAGCAGTAAACCTTATTTTTCCTTTTTCTCAAAACTGTGTCCTCATTATTAAATTGGTATTAATTGACATTGGGGACAGGGACCAAACTGTCAGTTATAAGAGTGCCCAAATTGAGAAATGTATGAATGAAAGCAGTAAAAAAAAATGCCATGAGGCAAAAAAAAAAAAAAAGCAAATAATCAGAAGGTGCAGCAAGAGGTATGAGTAGAGTGCAGTCATTCAGAAACTGGCACATAGCATCAGGAGGAAGGAGCCTGAGGACTGGGAAGCAGAGATGGAGAATCTGGGTCCTGAGGGGTAGGGGTGGGAGGTAAAAATGATGAGAGGTAGAGCAGA